AGTATTTTTTGCATCTATGATTCTGTGACATACTTTGCCTTCTCTTATTGGATATCTATATCTGAATGGGTTAGACACCCCAATTTTCTCCCCATCGAGCTGGTTTACAACCCTTATCAAGAAGTTGGAAGGCAATGGCAAAATGCCATCTTGAGAAAACAAATACATTATTCATCTTTTCATATATTTATAAAATAAATAATTATTGGCAGGAAGTATTTCACAATGCAATTTTCTTCCCCCTTAAATAAAAGCCTACTGATTACTAAATATGGAATGGGATATACAGATTGATGGTGAAGGGAACTGACTTCTTATCCTACTCCTAGAATTAAAGTAGGATGATAATAGATCAAGTAGAATAAAAAACTACAGGTGATTTTCACAATTCATGGATCTTACAGATGTTATCTTTGGTCATGAAACTCACAGTGACTTAATATTCAGTTGATTATGTTGTTTTTCCCATCTCTTTGATCATCATTGCTTCTACTATAACAGTAGGTTAAAATTAAAGCAGATCTATATGAAAAAAATCCATTATTTCCATTAAATCTTGATTTCTGTGAATGATAAATATATGAATTAATATCTGAAAAGAGAACATAATAGAATGTGTTCAGATATACTTGGTGCTTGATATTGTTTAGACTTCAGGAGTAATTGGCAATCGTTAGTAGCAGGTACAGTGCTATCTAACACTTACTTGCTCAGTATCTGTGTTACTTAAGGCAGAAGAAATCCGCTTCTTGTTTTCCCCTGATTTTCAGGTCTGCTCCACAAAACCTAGTGATATCTACTATTTACCATACCCTAGGCTGGCCATCAGGCAAGTGGTGGCTTGGTCCTCATCCTCCAGATTTTCACAGCCCCATGGGAAAGCAGGATGTGGACACAGAGTGAAACAAGTTTAATGGTGCTGTACAGAGTAAAGAGGAAGTAGTGTTTAAGGGAAGTTCGGGGAAAGACTTTATAGAAATAGTGATTCATGAGCAGAAATTTGATCAAAAGTTCATCAGATGGACTCAGAGAAGACTGACAGAAGAGAGAGAATTATGTGAAGTCACAGGACAATTAAATAGCTGCATGAGTGTGGGTACTTAGTATTGCTGTGATGTAGTCTGGGGATGTGGGGGAAGAGGAATTGAAGTGGGAGAAGGGCAAATGTGATTGTAGTAAAGAGAAAGGAGGGTCTGAAAATGAGTCTTAACTGCCAAGTATCAGGCCTTGCATATTATTCTTAGTTGATGGAGATGTTGAAGGTTTTTGAACATGTCATTTCATAATCGGATTTCCATTTGGAAAGATTAGTTGCAGTTGGCTTTTGGAGAATGGTGTGGTGAGCCAGATTGTATAGTAGTTAAAAGGATAATGCAATAGTTTGAGTGATGAGATGGTTTTCTGGTGTAAAATATTCTATTGATTCATAAATATGCTACCACATTTTAAAATGTCAGCAAATTGAAATATTTTTAGTATGCAGTAGAACTAATTCATTGTGACTTTTATAGCTTGAAGTTATTCATGAAATTAATAGCAGTGAAAAGTTGAAAGGGTTGCTATTTTGTTAGTGAAATTAAACCACTAAACTTGTCACAAGTCTCCTAATTTTCTATATAATGTGTAATATAACTTTACAAAAATGTAAAGAAATGAATTTTTGATATGGACACATCTAATTATTTGTGAAAATTATGAATATTTGAGAACAGCCGAATGATGGTATGTGGTAAGTACTCAGTAAGCATTTGTTGAATTTCCACTTGAAACTTGAGTGTTTTAACTAATACTTTGTATCCATTTTAGCCATGAAATAATAGACTTGATAGTTTTTCAGCAAAAAGTTAAGTCCCAAATCAAAAAAGAATAAACATATTTGTTAGAGAACATTAAATAGTCATATATGCATGTAAAATTGTAACTTTGCAAAAATGTACTCAAGAGATCCTTACAATTTGTGTAATTGGAAAAACATGTTAAAAATAGCTTTAAATTGTCTCACAAACAGTATGGCATATTCCTATCAAACTTGATTTTTTTTTAAAGTTTTTTTTTTTATACCTTTATTTTTATGTGGTGCTGAGGATCGAACCCAGGGCCTTGCACGTGCAAGGCAAGCACTCTACCACTGAGCCACAACCCCAGCCCCCAAACTTGATTTTGATACATAAATCCTTAGTTCTCAGTTGCCACAATAGGAAACAAAAGTCAGAGTTGAGAAAAATAGAACACCCACAGCAGCTTAGTGGTATAAAATATTAGATTGCTCTATCTTTTAAAATTTGTACCTAAGATTTTATGTTTATTCAAGTACATGTGATAGTACAGTATGGAATTAATAAAGAGTAGGTTGTATGTATCAAAATCAAATAATGTAATAATGATCACTTTCCATTAGTCATTATCTGCAATTCAGACTAATGCTCAGAAAATGGATTCATACTGATTATTAATTAAACTTCCTTTCATTTTATGTAGAATATTATCAGTGCATATCATTTTAGTTTGTAAGATTATTGTTCTGTATTTGATGTCACATTATATTTCAGTTTCAGAGATTATATGTGGTGTTAGAGGTTAGAATGAATTTTGTTTCTTGATTTTTTAGAAGTATTTACAAAAACCAACTTTTTGTTATAATCTGTATTTCTTTTCTCATATCATAATTGAATGTACTACTCACTTTCAGGAAAGTTTTTAGCAAAATGTATTATTACTTCATACTGAAACTTAACAGGTTGTTTTAGGGGAGTCACTGGTGACATGTTTTAAAGCAGAAATCTTTTCATGCTTATTTTTTGCTATTTAATGAGATATCAGATATATTTTAACAAATGGGGTTTCCCTGATGAATCATTAAAATGAGTGAGTGGGCTGGAAGGTAATACTGGCTTTTCTCAGCACTGCCCTATTTTACTCTGCTGGATTATTGGTTACTTTTTAATTAAAACCTGGGTGTGTTGGAGTAAGTAGGTGGAAGTGCAGAACAGAAGGGGGAGAAAGGGTAAATAAGAAAATACCAGGTAAACCTCTGATGACCTATTGGGAAAGCCTAAGCCTACTCACATTTTACTTTCCCCAGCTTAAACCATTTAGTGTTAAAACAGTGCTCTTTGCTCTGCCAGCCTTAAGTTTCCAGATAGTATATACAGGTAAATATAAAATGTATTTTCAGCAATTGATCAAAGTTTTCAGACATCAAGCTATGTGTAATCTGTGGAATCAATTTCTCATGTGTGTGGGATTAAAACTGTTAAAACCATTGTCACTGAAACTGTACCTTCCTACAACTAATAGCAGTAAGGTGTCTATGGAATATATTAATACAATAATTCCCCTGATTTAAAATTATTACAAGGTATTAGATTGGAAAATTATTTTAACAGTGTAGGTACCTGAGTTGAAGACTAATTATGGATATCTAGTGATTTGGGGTTTTTCTTTTAACAACATGATACATTTGTATTTAGCACATCTTTTTCAGTAGACCAGTAACATATTGCAAATTTCCTTTGTCTATACTGTTAAACATTTTTTCAACTACTATGGCAGTTGTAACTGCTAGAGGAGGTAGACAAAAATGTAGTTCACCTTGAAAATGATCATGGCTCAGGGAATAAAGAAATTGGGTCAAGCCTAAAATAAATGCAGGTATAATGACAGAAAGTTTTAATAAAAATTTAAAAATATTCACAGCATTGGTTTCAGGCAACTTTTGTTCTTTATCTTATCAATGCAATATTAGTTTTTAATTGAGATGATGCTAATGGCACTTTTTCATTTTTTGTCAAAATGTTTTTATGAAATGCTATTGTGATTTTTCACTTTGTATCCCCTTTTAATTATAAACATAAATTTTTGGGAAGTCAGATAATTCTTAAATAGATCATTTTGTCCTTTGGTGATCTTAAATAGCATTTGACATGGTATAAAATTCCTGTCGCAGATGTAAGTTTGACTCATTTTATATTGCCAAATTTAATGTTTAGTATTAAACCATGTATCATTAAATCATAGTATTGATAATGAGTTAAACTTTCATAAAGCATTAATAGGTATAGGAGGTTTTCATTCATCTGGTACCACTGGGGAACAAAATTTGCTGAAGAAATGAGTTTTTTTTTTTTTTAAGTGAAGCTTACTTGTTTAAGCAGAAAAACTTAAAAAGTTGCTACAATTTTTTTTTTTTTTTTTCGGAAATATTTTACCTGCTTTTTTAAGGAGCAAGAGTGGAGTGGCCGTATACTCTTTTTTTTTTTTTTTTTTAATTTTAATGTCATGGGATATTCTTAGTGCCATGAAGTCAGTGTCTGATTGGTATTTGTTCTCCAATATAAGAAGTGTGCATGTTCCCCCACCCCCTTTAGTCTGGTTTTTTCCTTTTAAAATGTCACACCTTTGACACCCCAGATTCTGTAACTTACCCCATTTAAATGTTCCAGTGTTTAAGGTCTGTGGTAATACTTGTGATAATGCTTTAACAGGTTCATGAACTCAGTCACCTATGTTAGACATTTGGCTCTGTGTAGGCTCACTGCCATCTTTTGGTAGACACCTGGGCACAGCCTCTGGACATCAAGGAGACCCTGTCGTTGCTTTGGTATTAGCACTTTAAATTTGGAGGTTTTATTCTTTCTGCTTCTACTCTCTCCTTACTAGCTAGTGCTAGTGGTCCAGAAATGTTTGTCTTCCCATGTGTGCTTATGAACTTCTGCAGTGTCTGAGTGACCACCTGCAGTTTTATCTATGTTTTGCTAAAATGGGCAAATAGTATATTTCTGTTACATTTTAGCAAATTCTATTGTAACAGCAAAGTGGGTATTTTTTTTCCAACCTCGTGACTATTTGCTTCAGCCAGTGTTTTCTAAAACAAAACTCAGGCACAGTAAAAGTTTTTGAACTACTCTTTAATGTGCCGTAATGATATTTGGTTTGAATATTATTTAAAAATGAGTTTTTCCCTTTTTGTTTGTATCTAATGGGAATCATCTTTGTTCCAGGTTGTGCTTCAAGAAGAGTACAGGGAAGAATATATTTTCTTCTTGCCACAAAGTTGCAATAGAAGTAAGTGGGAATTGCCAGGATATGTCTGTCTCCACAAAACAAGCAGAACAAATTTCCATGAATCAAAGCCACTAAGTATAGTTTTCAGAGATGGTAGGACATAGTTACTCTCCCTAGAAAAATACCCGAAATGCAGGCACGCCCATTGGCCACTAGAAAAATGCTCAAGTAAATGCTAGTTCAAACCTGTACATTCCACTCTTCATGTTGAGCTATTAAAGGGTTGGAAATCTACTACAGCTATAATCTTTTTTTCCCTTTTTCTATTTTTCGACCTCCCACATGCTTGGTGTTCAGTTCTGCTTACTGAGTGTCTTGAATCTATAGCAGCACCTACACATACTGCCTCCACAGTGGCTGGTGATTAGCAGATAAGTTGTGATTCACACCCATAAGAAACATCTGTAAAATAAATCTATGTCACAATACATACCGTAGATTAATCATGAAAAAGGGCAGAGTGATGAAGAATCAGAAAGCAGTTTTTTCCCCCCAATATTGATGTTGCTTTCTTTGAGGTTATGTGAGTAAAATATTCTTTAGAGAGAGGTTTATATCACATTCCATCACTTAGTGAAATATTATCTCATGTCATTTGTACAGGAGCCTTTTAGAGACCTTTTAAGGATACATAGAGCATGTATACCTTAGTGTGATTAGGTTGGAGGAAATTAAGCTAGATAGTAGATATTTGTGATGTAATATAGCAAGCAATGTTTAACTGCCTTTTATCTATCTGTCTTTAAGTTTCTGACGTAATTTTCAAAATTCTCTTTCATTCTTCCCTCAGTTTCTTTCTAGAAGTTTCCATCATTTGAAGGATTAATGCCTATCACTTTGTTGAACTTGGACAGTGTTTGAGAACTCATTGAGCATTGCTTTATTAAAGCAGAAGTCTCCAATGGGCCTTAAAAAATTAAGCTTTGCATAGCTCAGTCTCTGAGTTTACCTCTTACCCATAAAACCTGTGGGGATCTCAAATTCATATTTGGAATACAAGTGAATGATGAGAAAAGGGCAATACCCTGTGTATTTCAAATACATGTGTACATCCACCTTTCCTACCTATGCCTGGTGGATAGGGGGCTACAAATGAAGATTATTGAATTTAAAATGCTGGAAGATTTGAAGATTACCTTTTTCCTTAAGAAAAGTGATTTATACTGCTAAAAGAGTAAATACCTTATTTTTATTTAAAAGCATTCATGATTTTATCTGTACAACACACTGCTAAGATTAGTACTGTTACTCACTTTAAAGAAGATGAGACTGAGTCCTACAAAGTTAGGTAACTTGTTCAAGGCCATCCAGCTAGAAAGTGATGGAACTGAAGTTCAAACTTACACCTTCTCTGGCAAATATTGTTTCTTACTTTACATATAAGTGAAATAAACACTCGTGCATGTGTGTGTAAATGTGCAAATATGTGTACACAATACAAGTGCTCATTGGTATTCAGATATCAAGAAAAAAAGCTTTTTTTCAGTTCACTCATTTCTCAGAGAACTATTTGAATCTTTTTCCTTTGAAACACAATTTAAGTAGACACCATGACTGAGCATGTGCAATACAATTTTATTAGTGAAAAGCATTATTGAGTCATTGAGACTAATAATTTTACGGAACAACATTATTTAAGAAAGCAATATGCTATTTAATGAGTGGTATTTACTTTACTCATAAAAGAAAATTCAAACATCTGGAATATTTTTTAAGCAATCTAATATTCATTTACAAAATGATGTTTCTGCCTTATGTCTTACAGGAAATAGTATAAAATTTGAAATGTATGTGAAAGTTTTACATTCATACAGATTATTTCACTGAGCACATTAACAAAAATCATATTATTAAAATGAAAAATTGCTTAATAGCCAAATTCTCAGTGATGAAATTTTACTATTAATAAACCCATTTTTTTTTTTTTTTTTTGCTACTTTATCCTTCTTAGGTTTCTTGTATAAAGACGTTTGTAGAATCTTTGGTGGTTAACAGATATGTAGCTTTACTCAACCTTTTGATATTCCTTTGGGGGTGGGATATTGACAGTAGTGGGGAAGTCATCAAGGTATATGTAGTGTCTCAAAAAAATCTTATGCTTTAGTTTTTTAAAAATTTTTTCTTTTAATTTTCTTTGTAGTTGTAAATAGACCTTTATTTATTTATTTTTAATTATTTATATACGGTGCTGAGAATTGAACCCAGGGCCTCACACAGGCTAGGCAAGCGTTCTACAACTAAACCACAACCCTAGCCCTTAAGTTTTTAATACTGGAAAATTGAGATTCAAATATGAATGACTTTCTTTAAAATATAGATTCATTAGGGGCAGTGATAGCTGATAAATTTAAAGATGGATTAATATGAAAGTTATAGAATCTGAACATTTCCAAACTGGGAGGGACCTTACAAATGAAGAGCTCTCAGTGGAAATCTTTATTAGAAGATGAGATCAGTGACTGTAAAACAAGGGCTTCAGGTCAAGTAGGTTCTTGGGTCACTGAGTCAGGCTCACAGCTTAACCAACCAGGATTGTGAATGATCACAGGAGGAGAAGGCTTTTGTATTCGTGGGGTAGGACACAAAGCTTAGGGTTATGGAAGAGAGTAATCTGAGGGCATGAGGAAAACAAGCAAAAAATAAAGACACTTTTTTTTTTTTTTTAATAAAAAGATTGATTCCAAAAATTTAAGACTTAATGTATTTTTAAAAGATAGGATTTCTTTTCTCCTCCTCCTACTGTGGGGATCTCAATATGCACTCTGTGATATCAGAACATTAAATTATGTAAGCTGATATCTCTCCCTCCCCCCGACCCCCAGGACTTTGTGCTTGCTAGGCAGGCACTCTGTCACTTATCTACATCCCCAGCCCCTGAGATGTCTGTTTTTTATTTTAATTTATGTGTATGTTAAAAACATACGTATGTGTATATACATACACATATAATTATTTATTTATTATTTTTATGTTTTTCAATGTAGGGATTGAACTCAGGGATGATCTACCACTGAGCTATATCCCCAGTCCTGTTTTGTTTTGTTTTGAGCAGGGTCTCCCTAAGTCCCTCAGGTTTCCCTCAGGTTTTCCTCAAACTTGAAATCCTTCTGCCTCAGCACCCCAAGTAGCTGGGATTACACACCTGCACTACTGTGCCCAGTTTAGGATGCATATTTTTAAAAATTACACATGACTAAATTATTTGTATTTTCTTTTTGAGAATAAAATTTAAACATTTAAAGAATTTTCATATATATCTGCAAAATATGTTTTTTTTTTTTTTTGTATTAACTCTCAAGGTTTGAATGGTCCAATGAGTATTCTTATCATTGAGGCATTCTATGGAGGTTCCCATAAACAACTGGTGGATCTGCTCCAAGAAGAGCTACAGGACTGTGTTCTTTATACCCTTCCTGCAAAGAAATGGCATTGGAGAGCACGGACAGCAGCTTTGTACTTCTCTCAGAACATTCCCGTCAGTGAGCATTACAGGTAATCAGAGCTCAGGAGGCATCTTCAGCTTGTTTTTAATGTACCTGTTTTCAGGATGTTGATTCTCTATCAGCATGTTAAAATTTCTTCAACTCTATAATTGGTTATAATGACTGCAGTTGGTATATGTTTAGAGACAGAGAAGCAGTGGAATAAACTCACACTCTCAGGACACCTGGTTATTAGGAAAGTGACTTCATTTAGAACCTACAGTTTTTTCTTTTATCTTGTGATTTTATTCTGTGTGCATATGTGGGTGTGGGTGACAATTTTTGAACTGAGATGAAAGTTGATCTTGGGCATGTTGTTTTTTGCCATTGTTTGTTTTTGTTCACTAATCTCCAATGCCTTTTTTTTTAGTAAGTATACAGTTTCAGTTTAGTTTATTACACTATTCTGCACTAGGACCCAGGGTTGAAAAGATGGATGTGACTAGGGATTTAAAGACTATTAAGATAGACATAGATATACAAGTGCAATGTGAGTATGAAAGTTGGAGAAATTGATTTTGTCTGTGAAAAACTGAAGGTGGATTTATGCAACTGGTAATATTTGACTCAGCCTTGAAGGTTGTGGAGATTTTGTCGTATAGACCTCAATTCTGAATTGTGATTTGTTAGAAAGTGGGAGGTAGGAGGATGTATTTGAAAGAGGCTTATGGAACATACTGAAAAGATAGAGGAGAACTACTAATTACATTTGTAGGGGTAACAGATAGAAAGGAAGAAAAGGAATCCCCTTAAACATTTCTCTCCTCTTAGTCTCTGCCCTCCCACATGTCTCCCTAAGGTTAAATAGTAGAAGATTGTCTGACTGGTTTACAGATGTGATGATCTTGCCATTCTGGGCCCCACTGTGTAGGGCTGTGTTGCTTCAGGTAGGAGAGAGCAATGCCACACTGGTAGTGATGTAGTTAGAGACAGGTTGTTCAAAGGGCATGCTGCAAGCTGCAGTGGATATCTTGGTTCCAGCAGCTGTATCCATCAGCTGCATGTGATGTAGATCAGCTACAAAAAGACAGCAGCTTGTAATTTTGATGTAAGTTTCTGTTCTTAGTAGTGAAATTTGGTAGATTCAGAGAATAACTCACTTTATGAATGAAAACCATGCATTGTCTCTGAGAGTTCAGATTGTTGGAATAGCAGTAAGTACTCACATCACATTTTATTTTAAAGATAAAAGTGCCATTTTAGTGCATATTGAGGATTTTGTATTTTTCTAATCTAAAATGTATTGTGGTTTACATAATTTAATGTTCTGATATCACCAAGTGAATATTGTTGATTCACTAATAGTATGAGAAATTTTAATGAATGTGTTGATATAAAAGTTGTAAAGACAATGGTAACACTATTGCTGTATGAAAATCTGACTGTTTATAGTTGTTTTCACATCTTATTTAATTGTATTCTTGTAGCACAAATTGTATTATAATACTCAAGGTCAAATATTACAGTAGAGTTGTTGGCACATTTTCATTTGACCTTACTATTGGAAATAATAATTTTCCACTGTCATTTGAACATTAAAATGTACCTTTTCTCTATCTGCTGTTTGATTTCATTTTGATTATTCAGTACTGCAGAATTAAATTATTGCATCACAGACATCTTTACATTGGGAATGCGCAAGCAATTCTTTGCACGTGGCTTTCATGCTATCTTGGAAGACTGAAGCATTTGAGGATAAATATCTCAATACTCTTTGAAGCAGTCTTACGTGGGAGGTGGATTACTGAAAGATCATTGTGTAAAGTTTTATTCTCTGAAAGCTGAAACCTCACTGCCTAACAATAGTATCTGTCATCTTTCAAAGTCAACCGTTTAATCTGCTCAGTTATTTGTATTAATCTAATCAGACTTCACCCAAATACATACCTCGCCAATTTAACTTACAGTTCTATTTTACCAAAGATAATTCATCTGTTCTTTACTAAACAACTTTTTTGAATATTTTTGGGAAAATAGCAGCAGATTGAAAACTTAAAACTAGATTAAAAATTATGCTTACTCTATCCTAGACTGAAGTACACGAATGACCTTTTGTTATGCCAGATAAATCTGATTGCAGTGGAAGCTTTTAAATATATGAAAAATATTTGCTTTCTTGTTACTTACTCTTCTTGTACATTTGGTAAATAAACCCACAAAAATTCATAAAGGTAAAATAATTAAGTATCAATATTGTCTAGTATGCAAATTGCTCTGAACTAATAAGAATGTGTCTGGTGAGAAAGCTCTTTAATGTAGGTGTTTTCATTATTTTTCTCAGCTTCTGTACATGCAGTTGTTAATTTTTATGTTTATTATACAGGATATATTTTACTATTAAGAGAATAAATGATTCAGCCTAAACAATCATTTTGATTTCATTTTGTCTTAACTAAAAGAACACATCACGATTCACATTAGAGCTATTCAATTTGATTATAGATTACAAAAGCTCAACAAGTTATTTGTCTTAAAAGTAGTTGATAATTATTGTAATTCTTAGGTTATATTGAAGCATTGCTTTTTGGAAACTTACAAAATGCACAGAAGGTTTCTGAAGATGGGGGCTTGAGGAAAGGCCTTAAATTTTGTGTTTTGAAATGTATGAGTCATTTGTATTAGGATTAAGCTTTCTCACTTTCTTAGAATGTACCTTAGACTAAGCTTCAAGAATAGTTCATTTTTCTTTCTGTAGTATCTCTAGATAACCAAAAGAATCACTTATTTAATTTTTTTTTTTACTCTGGTATGCCTATAATTATGTTTTGTTCTGTCTGAGATATTGTGGAAGATACAGGTCATTGTCCACTTAACATTTTTAACATTTTTTTCTTTCTTGTCAATAGAATGCCAGTTTTCTTTGGGGTGGCTAAGTATCCAGCCCTTGGGAATGAAGCATGATTGAGCCCAATTGGTTGTGATAATTTCATTTGTCTTTGGCCAAATTTCTCTGATGTTCTTGCAACTAGGGTTGGTCAGACCACAAGTTATGGCAAATTAGTGTTAAGTCGATGGATGACCTCTGGGTGTTCTTTAAGCAAAGTGTTTTCTTTCTTTCTTTTTAATTTTGCTTTTAAAAGGGGAGCACCACCTCTTTCCTGCAATTGACTGCAGTTGTAATGTCTGTAATCATGAAATTCAAGCATAAGAACAAAACATCAGGATTGTCTCTATAATGGCCGACAGAAGCCTGGAAAGAGGTGGCCTAGACTTCAGTTTTGCATAATATCACTACCAAGTCACTTGAAGAACTTTGCCTCTAAAACATGTAGAAATTCTTCACAAAACATAACTCTGTGACTCTTCCTTTAATTGAGAGAGGAGTACTGAAATCTCTAACTGTAATTGTGGTTTCGTGTATTTTTCTTTCATGGCTATCATGTGTTTTGTTTTTCCTTATTTAATATAAAAAATAAAAATTGTACATATTAATAGGGAACCATATATACACGTTATGTGTATATATAAAAAATAAAAATTATGTGTATAAATATTACATAATGTGTATATATATACACATTATGTAATATTTAAGTCAGGTTAACTATACTTATTTCCTCAACATTGATCATTTCTTTATGATGAAAGCACTTAGAATCCTTTACCTCTTATTTATTAAAATATATAGTATATAATTTTTTTAGTTGTAGTTGGATACAATATATTTTAATTAATTAATTTTTTTTTTAATGTGGTGCCGAGGATTGAACCCAGGGCCTTGCCCATGCTAGGGGAGCACTCTACCGCTGAGCCACAATCCCAGCCCCAGTACATAATTTTTATCCATGGTCATTATCCTAATAGCACACCCAAACTTCTTATATCTATCTAAAAGAAGCTTTGTGTATCATTTTTCAGAAGGCTGTTCAAGACATATTAAGTGACAAAAAGGTAAGGTGTAGAACAGTGTTATGTACTGTCCTTGGTATGAAGAAAGAGAGGTGTAGGAACAAACAGAAGAGAGTATACTGTAAAGGAATAAAAATAGTTGCCCCGGGAGGAGTGTGATCGAAGCAGTCAGTGTCCCACCTATGCTCTTTGGACCTTTCCTTGGCCCAAGTGTAATGCTTGTTTCTGTTATCTGCAGCTCTTTGCCTTAGGGAGCAGCTGCTCTCTCCCATATGCAGAAGGCTGGGAGCAGCCCTCCACGAATGATCCTCACCTTTTATCAGGAAATGTGATACTGCATATCACAATGTGTACTGCATCCAGAGTGACAGACACATTTATATCATCTTTAATAATTTATTTTTAATATTTTTTATCTGGGATAATACTAAAATAATAAAATATATATATATTTTTTATAATGGGATATGCAGGATCCTTCAAAACTGTAGCTCAGGAAAGAGCCCCTCTTATTGGTCTAGCAGTAGTCTGGGAATGAAACAATAAGGAAAAGAGAGGAAGATAGTGAAATTGAAAGCAAATACATAAGGGAGATGAACAAACTCAAAATTAGTTACTTTGAAATCACAAAGTGGATAGACCACAGGCATGATTGATTGTTTTTAAAGACACATAATTTTTGGGAAAAAAAAAAGAATATAACTACAGATATAGTGTTTTTACAGACACACACTTTTTGGAAGAAAAAAGAAAATAACTACAGATATAGGACAGATCAATAAAGATGGGAAATACTTTGAATACTTTTATGCTAATACATTTAAAACTTAGAATGGACAATTTCTTAGAAAATCTTATCTTTACAAATGTCACTCAATATGAATAGACATCTGAATGAATCTATAATCATTAAACATCAGTAAGGCAAGGGTTGGGTCCTTGGACTGTGTTGTTTTACTGTCCCTATGCCATTGTCCCTTCTTCCAAACTTGGGTTTAATGAGGTCCAGTGTCTTCTTTTTAAGATTTTCTGTTTCATTGCTTCCCCCATATAATCTTTTCTTAATGTCCATGGAGGAGGAGGAAAGCAAATAGTGGATAGAAAATAAATCAAGTGAAAATTCAAGCTGATAAGTATTGCATAAAGTGAAATTAAAGCTTA